AGGCTATCCCCACTCCAGTCCATCATGAATGCTGCTGCCAGACTCATCCACCTTACTTAACCGTTCTGTATCTGCCACCCCTCTCTGCCAATCCCTCCACTGGCCTCCACTCAGTGGCCTCTGCCAAACCCTCCACAGCCTCCACTCAGTGTCCTCCACCCCTCTCTGCCAATCCCTCCACTGGCTTCCAATTGCCCAATGGATAAAATTCAAAATGCTAACACTCACTCCCATGCTCGTCTCCATGATTTCTCCAGGGCTTCCCCCATCCTCTGGAACTCCCTACCCCAATCTATCAGACTATCGCCTACTCTGCTCACTTTTAGGCGCACTCTGAAAACCTATCTCTTCAGGGAAACCTACCCCGCCCCCAGTTAACACTGGAATCCTCTACTCCTCCTATCAGTTCATCCCCCACAGTTATTACCTTTTGTACCACTATCCCCTCCCTCCTAGATTGTAAGCTCCAAGGATCAGGCCCTCTAATCCCTCTTGTATTGAACTGTATTGCTATATAAATAAAAATCCAAACATTTTGAAAAAAGTGTTTTTCTTATAAAATTAATGCAAATAATATTTCTTCATAAATCTTGGTCAAAATGTATTCATCTATCTTTTTAGTAAAAAAAAAATAAAAAGAAAATAACCCAAATTAGTTTATAACCAAAAATTATAATTTTTAAAAAAAAAATTGACATTTTTATTTTTTTTTTTATATATATTATTTTTTTTTTTTAGCATACTGTAACCCTAGCAGTACAGTGTCACCATACTGTACACTGTCACTACTTGTGGGGGGTGATGAAGATTTTTTTTATTTACACTGATTGCTTTTACACCCATAAAGGCTGTAAAAGCAATCATTTCTCCTCCTCTCTGGCTGCATTCTTGCAGCCATTGAGAAATAATGTGAGAGCTGTGATTGGTCACAGCTTGTCACATGGTACAAGACTGTTGTGAATGGCCTTGTACCATGTGACCTCTGTGATCATTCACAGATTTCACAAGAAGTAAGCAATGATTTCAGAAGTGACATCTTGCTTACTACTATTCATGTGATCACTGATTGGCAGCTCACACAGAACTCCCCGTAGAGCAATCGGTGTTCCGCTGTGACACTGGATCGCGGTGCTGCGCGCTCCCAGGGAGCAGCACAGGCAGGGAAGCTGGAGGACGTTTATAAATGGCCACCCGCCCCTGCACTGGTCCCATCCGGCCGTTTATGTACATGGGTCTGACAGGAAGTGGTTAAGACAGTGTGCATGCCTAGTTTGAAACTGATAATGAAGATCTGCCAGCATAGTACAGACATGGTTGATTATGTGAAACATACCTCTCCTGCCCATTCCTTAAAGACATAATCCACCTTTAAGACCATGTTTCATTGGCTAATTGGCTCCTGTCTAAATTGTCCCTAGTATGTGTATGTATGAATGGAGTTAGGGACCTTAGACTGTACACCCCTTGAGGGTTAGGGACTGATGTGAATGTACAATATATATGTAAAGTGCTGAGTAAATTGATGGCGCTATAGAAGTACCTGAAATAAATAATAACATAAATAATAAATAAATTTGACATCCTTATTTAGGGTATAATATAAAGAATGATCACATTCCTCAAACCCTCCCCAACCGTTAGACACCCCCTTCTCCACCCCACTTACCTGAATTATATGGTGTGTCATCCACTCACAGGAATCTGTGAATGGAAACACTAAATGTCCCATCTGCCGCCACTGCAGAAGGACTTGTTGAGCACAAGTGCAGTGACCACACATACCTCGTACCTCTGTACGCACCCAGGGCTGGGATGTCGACAATGTAGGAGCCTATACATTGCCTGTACATTGCCCCCACAACACCACACTGATCTTGACTGCAAGTTTCTGTAAGCTTTAACCGCTTGCCGACCCGCCGCAGTGTTTTTACTGCGGCAGGGTGGCACCTGTGCGCACAGCGCCGTCTTTTAACGTCGCTGTGCAAAACAGGTAGGGGGCGCGCGCGAGGCACATGCCCGCCCTACCCGTCCCGCCGATCGTGGCAGCGGGTGTCCGTCACCATCTCCCGGCGGGTCATTTCCGCCGGTGATTACAAGTAATCACTGGCAGATAGCAGACCTGCAATGTAAACAATGCAGCCTGCTATCTGTCAGTTCAGAACACACTGAACCTGAGAGAAGACTTTATCTGTGGGGATCAGCTGTTCCTGTGAAGTACACACCCCCTCCCACTAGTAAAACACTCCCCTCACACAGTTAACCCTTTCATTACCTAATAAAAGTTAACCCCCTTCCTCCCCAGTACCATTAGTACAGTGTCAGTGGGTTTTTTTTTTTTTGCACTGATCACTGTATTGGTGTCACTGGGGATGTCCGTGACCCCAAGTCAGTTCCCCCCCAGTGTCAAAATGTCCTCCGCAGTCCCGCCATAAGTCGCTGATCACTGTCAAAAATCGCTGATCGCCGCCATAAGTCGCTGATTGCCGCCATTATTAGTATAATAAAAAAAAAAAATCCCAGTATTTTTCCCGCCATTTGTAGACGCTATAACTTTCACGTAAATCAATAATTTACACGTATTGGGATTTTTTTTTAAGCAAAGACATGTCGCAGAATGCATTTTGGCAGAAATTTTATGACTAAATTTGATTTTTTACATTTTTTTACTGGACATGTTTTATAGCAAAAAAGTCCAAAATATTGTTTTTTTTTTTCTCAAAATTGTCAGCCCTTTTTTTTTTTTTATAGCGCAAAAAAATAAACGCACAGGCGTTAAAAAATACCACCGAAAGAAAGCTCAATTTGTGGGGGGGAAAAAAGGATGTAAATTTCATTTATGTACCGTATTGCATGACCGCGCAATTGTCCGTTTAGCGCAGCACTGTATAGCAAAACAAATGGCATAAATTGCAGTATCTATACCATAGTTTGTAGACGCTATAACTTTCACACAAAGCAATCAATATACACTTATTGGGATTTTTTTTTTACCAAAAACATGGAGCAGAATACATTTTTGGCCTAAATTTATAACCAACTTTGAGTTTACTATACATTTTTTATAGCTGAAAGTAAAAAATATTGTTTTTTTTCTTCAAAATTTTTGGTCTTTTTTTTGTTTATAGCGTGAAAAATAAAAAGCGAACAGGTGATCAAATACCACCAAAAGAAAGCTCTATTTGTTTAAAAAAAAGGATGTAAATTTCGTTTGGGTGCAGCATTGCATGACCGTGCAATTATCAGTTGAATTAGTGCAGCGCCGAGTAGCAAAAAGAGGCCTGGTCATTAAGGGGGGTAAATCCTCAGGAGGGCAAGTGGTTAATGCAAACACTCCATAAATCCACTATTTTTTTTAATAATATGGGAGCATTTTTTTTACATTTTTGCAAAAAAGGGTAGACCTTGAAAATGGTTTAACATTACATAGAAGGTGAAGGCTAAGAAGGTTTTTTTTTTTTAATTGGAATTTTTCTGAAAAGAGCAACTAAAAAGGTAAGCAGCAATTTTTAAATATTTTTTTTAAGGTTTATGCTATGCAAATGGGAAGTTGTAACAAATCTAAAGTACCTTGGTAGGTGTTGTATCAGTTTGGCTGAAAAAGGTGAAAATATACTAGGAGCTGGTGATGTCCTGCATGGTCAGATGCTGAAACATTCTGTGTCCCTCTTTTGTTCCGCAGTGTGTAGACCAGTTGACGAAGATCCAGATGGAATTGCAGGAGACAGTGAAGGATTTAGCCAAGGCCAAGAAGAAGTACTTTGAGGCTGAGCAGATGGCACATGCAATGCGGGAGAAAGCCGACATCGATGCCAAGTGAGTTCCTTGTGTCTGGTGATTTTAGCTGAGATTCACAATCGTCATTCATGGCAGAACTTGGCTGTGTGTGACTTACGGAAGAGAGCTGAGATCATGCTGGTCTCCATCCAGTGAGGTGTGAGTGGAATCACTTGGGATGGGGTGCTGGAAGCCATCAACTCATTAGCTCAGAATCATTTTGCTGCATGTTTTAGGCTACAGGCACAGGGGCGGCCGCCAGCAGGAATCATTCGATTCTTGTCGGTGGTTCTTAAGGCTGCCTGCACACACTGTGTGTGCAATCATCAGCAGCTGTCAGCGTCGGCTGTCAGATTTGTAGTCTGTAGAAGTCACTGGCCAGACCCGCCACTGCTCGCATGTAACTGCTTTCCGAGGGGTTAAGTGTGAATAGAGCAGGGGTGTCAAATTTAATAAAATCGCTGGCCACATCAGCATTATGGTCGCCGTCAAGGTTTTATCTGTAAGACTAGATGTCCAGAGCACTCTTCCACCCCCCCCCCCCCCCTTACACCAGATAACAAAAGCCTCCCCACCCCCGTCAGAAGTTTGAGACCCTCCCCCCCCCACCCCCCTTACATCACAGTGCCCTCCCCCTTACATCACAGTGCCCTCCCCCTTACATCACAGTGCCCTCTCCCTTACCTTGTACTGCCCCCCCCCTTACATCAGATAACAAGAGCCTCCCCGCCCCATCAGAATTCGAGACCCACCCCCCCCCCCCCCCTTTACATCACAGTGCCCCCCCCCTTACCTTGTACTGCTCCCCCCCCCCTTACATCCGATAACAAAAGCCTCCCTACCCCCGTCAGAAGTTGAGACCCTCCCCCCACACCCCCCTTACATCACACTGCCCTCCCCCTTACATCACAGTGCCCTCCCCCTTACATCACAGTGCCCTCTCCCTTACCTTGTACTGCCCCCCCCCCCCCCCTTACATCAGATAACAAGAGCCTCCCCGCCCCATCAGAATTCGAGACCCACCCCCCCCCCCCTACCTTTACATCACAGTGCCCTCCCCCTTACCTTGTACTGCTCCCCCCCTTACATCCGATAACAAAAGCCTCCCTACCCCTGTCAGAAGTTGAGACCCTCCCCCCACACCCCCCTTACATCACAGTGCCCTCCCCTTACATCACAGTGCCCTCCCCCTTACCTTGTACTGCTCCCCCCCCCTTACAGATAAGAAGAGCCTCTCCGCCCCCATCAGAATTAGAGACACCCCCCCCCCTTACATCACAGTGCCCTCCCCCTTACCTTGTACTACTGCTGTGTAGAAGCTGGGGGCGTTGCTGGGAAGCAGAAAATGCAGAGTCTGGAGGAGTAACAGAGGGGGATTTAGTCGGCTGAATGCTGAGAACAGGGGAGGCGGCACTGTGGGGGTGCTGCGGCTGCACAGAGAGGCGCAGGATCTGTAGGAGGAGTTTTGTCCTCCTCTCTGCTGCTGACTGCTAAGGTGGGGGGAGGGCGACAGAGACCAGCCTCTCAGCGTCTGCATGGAGAAGCACAGGATCTGCAGAAGGAGTTTTGTCCTCCTCTCTGCTGCCGACTGCTAAGGTGGGTAGGGGGGGGGGACAGAGACAAGCCTCTCAGCGTCTGCATGGAGAAGCACAGGATCTGCAGGAGGAGTTTTGTCCTCTCTGCTGCCGACTGCTAAGGTGGGTGGGGAGGGGGGGCAGATACCAGCCTCTCAGCATCTGCATGGAGAAACACAGGATCAGTAGGAGGAGTTTTGTCCTCCTCTCTGCTGCTGACTGCTAAGGTGGGGGGGGGGGCAGAGACAAGCCTCTCAGTGTCTTCATGGAGAAGCACAGGATCTGCAGGAGGAGCTTTGTCCTCCTCTCTGCTGCCGAATGCTGAGACAAAGTGGGAGCAGAGACGAGGCGAGTGCCTCAGCTGCAGGAGAGGAGCAAGGGCCACATATAGAATAGAGCCTCTGACTGTCCCCGAACGCAGACCGTATACATGCAGAGTCAGAGCTTCTGCTGAGTTCAGTGCCATAGCACAGAGTGTTGCTGCATCCAGAGACGGCGTTTAGTTGCCTTTGAACGCAGCAAACTATCCACCCACGTGATTGTAGCCTTAAAGGGTCAGTTCACTCAGTATGATATTTACATGGTAGGTGTAGTTTCAGCCAAGTTGACTACTTCCCAGCTTTGTCCATCTGTCAGCTGTGGCATGTTCCACTTTCTCCGGTTTTGTTATCTCGAAGGCCAAATAATTTAAAAATCCAGCAGCCTAATTTTGTAATGGGCTCTACCAAGACTAGGGACCCTTGCAGAGATCTTACGACAATTCCAAAACATTGGGCCCCATTCACACTTCGCATAGCGGGAACTCGCCTTCCCGCTCACGATGTTGTGTGGGCTATTTGTCCTTGAAAATCCACGTGTCAAACATTGGGAGAGTGCATGTGATCAGCACAGGGCCAATCAGCACTGTCCAGACAGAGGGTCAGGGGTTCTGCATCCTCTTACAGGAGAATGAAAACTCCTCCTGCAAGCTGTAACCAGTGCTCTGCTGGACACTGATAGAAGTCACAAGACTGCTCTAACTGCTGATGAGAAAAAGTATTTAACAGTTTATATTAAAATAATTACATTTCCATGTTGTGTGTACTGTGGGAGACCAGATATAGTGAATGCAGGGTCCGGGGAGACCAGATATAGTGAATGCGGGGTCCGGGGAGACCAGATATAGTGAATGCAGGGTCCTGGGAGACCAGATATAGTGAATGCAGGGTCCGGGGAGACCGGATATAGTGAATGCAGGGTCCGGGGAGACCGGATATAGTGAATGCAGGGTCCGGGGAGACCGGATATAGTGAATGCAGGGTCCTGGGAGACCAGATATAGTGAATGCAGGGTCCGGGGAGACCAGATATAGTGAATGCAGGATTCGGGGAGACCAGATATAGTGAATACAGGGTCCGGGGAGACCAGATATAGTGAATGCAGGGTCCGGGGAGACCAGATATAGTGAATGCAGGGTCCAGGGAGACCAGATATAGTGAATGCAGGGTCCCGCGGAGACCAGATATAGTGAATGCAAGGTCCGGGGAGACCAGATATAGTGAATGCGGGGTCTGGGGAGACCAGATATAGTGAATGCAGGGTCCGGGGGAGACCAGATATAGTGAATGCAGGGTCCTGGGAGACCAGATATAGTGAATGCAGGGTTTCTGGGTTTAGTAACACTTTATAGTGGTTGTTAAAGTCCGATATGAAATCTGAACAAAGCATATCCTTCTATAGTGTGTACTTGTCTCAATTAAGAGCACTAAGTGTCATTCCTGTCTGCTGTTTCGTTCCTCTGCTATCGGCATGAGTCGCTTCTGACAAGTTGCCCTGACACCAAAAGAAAAAAAAAGTGACGGGAGGGACCTCTAACACACAGCCTGTGATTGAAAGCCTCAGCTCTGTTCCTGTTTGCTATGTGTAGGGGGGGTGCGTCCCTTCCCTCCAATCTGCTCTCAAAACTCTCCTCACTGAGCTCTGCAGAGTTTGACAGCTTAGACAAGCTGTATGAATTCTTTGAATGGATGTAGAGAATAGAAGACTGCAGATCAACAAGTACAACTTATATAGGAGGATTTGTTTCATCTCTGTATCACCTGAGGCCAGTCACTTCACTGGGTATATGTAAGGGTTTACAACCACTTAAAATTACTGCCTGAGCCTGGGTTCACATATATGCGGTGCGGTATATCGCATGTGATTCGTACAGGAACCACACCGCATTCCTGCGCAAATCACGTTGCGATTTGTATGGCTCTAATCGCTCCGCACCCACACCAAAAAGGTGCAGGGCCCTTTTTTTGGTCCGCACAAGAATCGGATCGCATGGGTATTCCGAATCTACACATCACGTTTTGCAGATTGCTTTCGGGGTGTTGTTAACTTAACATACACACAGTGATTCGCATGAACGGGGTGCAATTCTGATGTGGTGTGGAATTCACACAGAAAACGCTGCAAATTCCGCACCACATCAGTGTGAACCAGGGCTAAGAGGTAAATGGCTACTAAGCTCTCTAAATCAATTCATGCCCGGAATTCAGGTTTAACCACCTCCTGTCCGGCCCGTTGGATATAAACAGCTGGACGGTGGCAGTGCATGGTCGGGTGGCCGATTATAAACGGCCTCCCCGCACCCTGCTTGTGCGCACTCCCTGGGAGCGCGCAGCATCACGATCCGGTGTCCACTGTATCCTCCAGACACAGTGGAACACCGATCGTTCGGACGGGACCTCTGTACAAGGTCCCATGGCCAATCAGTGATCACATGCAGAATAGTAAGCAAGATGTCACTTGTGACATCATTGCTTACTACATGTGAAATCTGTGATTGATCACAGAGGTCACATGGTACAAGGCTATTCACAACAGCCTTGTACCATGTGACAAGCTGTGACCAATCACAGCTCACTCAGTAGTTCTCAATGGCTGCAATAATTCAGCCAGAGAGAAGGAGAAATGATTGCTTTTACAGACTTTATTGGTGTAAAAGCAATCAGTGTAAAAAAAAAAAAAAAAAAAAAAAAAATGTAATCACCCCCACAAGTAGTACAGTGGCACCATGGTGACACTGTACTGCTAGGGTGACAGTAATAAAAAAAAAAATGAGAGAAGGAGAAATGATTGCTTTTACACAAATAAACGCTGTAAAAGCAATCAGTGTAAAAAAAATGTAATCCCCCCACCATGGTGACACTGTACTGCTAAGGTGACAAGTATGTAAAAAAAAAAACAATATAAAAAAAGTAAAAAATAATGTTTAAAAATTATAATTTTTGGTTATAAACTAATTTGGGTTTTTTTTTTTTTTTTTTTACTAAAAAGGTAGCTGAATACATTTTGGCCAAGATTTATGATGAAATACTATTTTCAAAATTTTATAAAACCCTTTTTTTCCCAAATTTTTTGTACTTTTTCATTTACATGGCAAAAAAAAAAAAAAAAATCCCAGTGGTGAATAAATACCACCAAAATAAAGCGTTC